ATAAAGTAAACACCTAACCCCGCAGATTCTCGCACGTTTTCTAATCTCGCATGACGTCACGCAGTGCTGATGGCCTCGTGTTGGGCTGTCTCGTATCAGTCCCATTCCTCAAATACTTTCTTCCATAATATCGCGTTGGCTCATCTTTTACCAACAGAAGCACATCATCTGCACATGCGATAACATGTTTTGGCTCCACGGGGAATATCACCTTGGACATGCAGTACTGGAGAGTCGAAACAAGTTACTGAGAACATGAGCCGTTTTATCTAACAGTCAATACATAGCGGAGTTGTTTCCAAATCGTCTATAAATGAAACAATCCCCAGGGGGCATGGCGGTGTAAACATGTACGGTACATGTATACACAGCCACGCTCCCTAGGGAATGTTTCACAGTACCCTCTACCAGGGTTGCAGATATTAAAGGCAAATTAAAACTAGAGGATCAGAGAGGCGATACCGCCTCCGAATATTGTACCACCAGCTGGAGCAAGCGCATTCGTAAANTAACAGGGCGTTGCAGCAATCTGTATAACGACGCAACTTTGGTCTATCTCCGGTTGAAAATGTTCTTGTCTGAACGGACTTCAAATCGATCTTATTTGAACTTCAATTAGTATCTATTCTCTATAACGGTACTTTACGGTGATGCCCCCAAAGGGAGTTTGCTCACCTTGGCTTGGATCAGTTTTAACACGTTAAAACACGTTTTTCATTCCGTGAAGTAGACTTTCCATTGTATCTTTGCGTAAATATGGTGATTGTGCGAACTGTTTTGAGAGAGACAAAATCCTTTTGAACAGTTAATAACCACGCTGATGAGTAAGTCAAGTGATCAAATCGAAATCCTGTCTCATTGGCCAGATCACGTATTTTCTCTTTTTTTACCCTGTTCTTCGTCAGCTATGTAATTTTGTCATTTTTTTTACTCTGTAGCCCTTTACACAATACATACAAAAGCATCCTAAAATTTCAGTAAACCAGACTTTTTCTCACGATCCCGGGGAAAAGGGGGTGGGGGTCAGTAGGAAAATAATACAATCCCTGTGCCTTGCATATGACAATACACCCGTCCTCTTCCACTGTTTTCGTTGTTGTTTAAACTGTACTTTAAGTTACACCAGACAATACAATACAGCCGAGCCGCATCAAAAAGCAATAAATCAACAGCAAGCAGACGAAGGTGCAATTAACCAAGCACAAGTGGAGCGAATACTAATGAGGGTTCATCATAGACAGACAGCTGCTTGAACACTTCACAAACATGTATAACACCAAACTAGACAGTGTGGCTGGAGTATATGCAGACATAAACAAGAATGAATACATTTCTGAGCAATTCAAAATAAAAGAATTTCCTAAAGAAATAAAATAAATAGAAAAAATACTAGTAAGTTTTCACAGTCCCTGGGCAATGTGAGTGGTCATAAAGACAAGGAAAAATAATTTTGCTGAAAATGCCCGCAATTTTTGACGTAAAACCTGGGAGTGGCGTTAGAAAAAACACTGTGTCTGCATATAATAATTATAGTTCATTGCGCACTGAATGAGCTAAATTGTATAGGCTCTTCGAACTATTCTTCACATACTGCATACCGTACAAAACAGTTTTCAATTTAAAGCAAATCATCAAATAAACAATACCAAATAGACAGACACAGAAATTATTTTTTTTTAAACACAGAGAACAATTTGCTGACGTCGTTGTTCAAAGCTGGGTCTTATCCGGGAGCAATTCTTTTTCCAGTCGTAATTTTTTTATTCTGCTTTTTATCACCTTTCAAAATCAATCACACTCGGAATGAAAGATACATACAGAAATTCTATTTCGATATCCCCATAATTTTTCATTACGGATGCTAAGCAATCATTGAAAGGCAGCTGGAAAAATTTATGGCTTTCAGGCTTCAGCCCGCATTTACAACAAATTGTGATCGGCAGACTAACAAATTCGCGAATCAAATATGGCCTGCCCACTTGAAAGCTGACCGCGTAATCCCCGCGGGAAATCTATCCAGTGTTTACTAGGGAACTATGCGGCAAGCTTTCATGTGGGAAGGCCACATCTGTTGATCTGCGGATCTGTTATTCCGCGGATCAACTTGTTCTGGACGAGACCTTCAGAAACCAACAGTGCTCGGAGGATGGCTTTTCTGTCACTATGAAATGTATATAAAGACATTCTGATGACAAACCCAGTTCCCATGGGCGTTATGAAATGCCAAGCTAACGATAGTAACAGCATTAACAGCATTTGAAAGGTTTTTTCGCTCACTTCATAATATTATTATTCTAATCTGGTTAAATGATAACATCTGAGTAAGCCTTGAACACGGGTGGCTTTGTCGGTTCCTGTGGGGTTTTTTTGTCAGTTGTGCCAGAATGCAGCAGTCAAGGAGGATTTTACGGAACATTTTAACAGTCGTATTTGAAAACAGGAATCGTGGAGGTTCCTGATATCTGCTTCACGGAAAAATACTTACTTTTTAGCTTCATAGGCTTAACTTAGATAGCCAACTGCGTGAACCAGAATTTTCAATAATTATTAGCCTGTGGAAGTGGCTTTCTTCTAACGACTGACCTGCATAAATGTCAACTGTCACAGCTAAATTGGTAACTGTCACTAATGACAGGTAAAAATCGATCAGTGTCCAGGCGCAAATTATGCTTTAAAGAACTGAATTAAAAATGATATTAGCAGTTTAAGGTAAAACTTGGAATACTATAACAGCTTTTGCCACGATCTATTTCAGCTAATATTTGTGAAAACAACAGCTCGGTACATCAAAATATAAAAGGCGATAGGATTTTTCCACAAGTATTTCTCTAGTTGCTGTCTCTATTTATTTCTGTCAAATTATAGTTTCCTGCAACACGGTACGAATGTTTTGGATATCATGTTTTACATTTGTTATGTTCTCTTACAAAATATAAACATTCCAAGCACAGAGAGTTTCACACTTAGTGCTATAAATGCACTTAGTGCATTTCCTACTAAAATGTAATGAGCATGTGAACGAAAGAGAAAAAATGATAAAAATGATACCGCCGCAAATGTCATCTGATTTAAATGTCATTCAGAACTTGCCTGGCTTCTCAATCCTCAAAGTGAACACTCCCTAAAAACCGTGTGTCACTTCATCCAACAAACATTTAAAAAAAGACTAGCTTGTCAATAATAATGAGCAAGTCTACCACAATACAGAACAATGTAATTGTCATAATGTAATATGGGTATTTTTTATCTTATTATTATTATTTATTTATTTATTTTGATTGTGATAATAGGTCTAGATTGTACTAAATGTATCTATATACAAGTAGTTTAGAGGGCCTGCAAAATGTACTGAAACATTTTAGTGCTCAATAAAATTATTATTATTATTATTATTATATAAAGTAAACACCTAACCCCGCAGATTCTCGCACGTTTTCTAGTCTCGCATGACGTCACGCAGTGCTGATGGCCTCGTGTTGGGCTGTCTCGTATCAGTCCCATTCCTCAAATACTTTCTTCCATAATATCGCGTTGGCTCATCTTTTACCAACAGAAGCACATCATCTGCACATGCGATAACATGTTTTTGCTTCACCTTGGACATGCAGTACTGGAGAGTCGAAACAAGTTACTGAGAACATGAGCCGTTTTATCTAACAGTCAATACATAGCGGAGTTGTTTCCAAATCGTCTATAAATGAAACAATCCCCAGGGGGCATGGCGGTGTAAACATGTACGGTACATGTATACACAGCCACGCTCCCTAGGGAATGTTTCAGGGTACCCTCTACCAGGGTTGCAGATATTAAAGGCAAATTTAAAAAAAAGCCAGAGGCAGAGAAACGAATGACTGTCTATTTATATACCTAAAGACATATCTGTGGATATCTTGTGAAAATTCTATCTGTCGCCCTGGTAGAGGGTAGTTTCACAGAGAGTCGTGCGTTAATTTTTGGACTAAAATCTTACTTAGCCGTTAAGATACAGCCAACTTTGCTGAGTTTCTCAAAGAATCTGAGTGCCCGCTTATCTTTGACATGAGTCCTTTGGGTAAGCTCAGATTGTCTTGACGAAGGCTTTCACTCTCGCTCAGCGCTGACGGTAACCTATTTAGCTACGGCTAAAGTACGCGTGTTTGATATGTTCATGCTATGCCCAATTTGGAAAGACAAAATAATGTGCCCTTAAGAATTCAATTTAGACGCACACACTGGTTATTCCGTTATCTCAGGCAGCCAAAATACATAGATATCATTATCGTTTTTCTTTTATTTGCCCTCTTATTTGATACCGTATTTAAAAACGCAGTCAGACTCCATCATTCTAATACACTAAAAACAAAAATCAATTTTTTGTCTGAACGCTGACGATATCACTTTCTCGGGCTTATCAAGATTTGTTGCAACAGAAAAAGTGAAGGACTCATCTCATAATGGGTTCGCCACCACGACTGAACAGTCCAACTACCAGGGTTAAAGAGGCGTTCCGCAGAGCTCTTTGCGCTAATTTTTTCTTATGAATTTTCGTCTCAGAGAGAAAACGCGAGAGGGTAAGAGAGAGCGCTGGAGAGACACTTTCTCTGAAGTGAAAGACTTCTGTATCTAGCACCTTATGCTAATGAACGTTTGGCGTCGATAAATCTCATTTTACAACTCTTAGTAACTAAGCACACAGCCAAAAGTGTGCGTCGGGCTTCCCGCTTGAGATAGTTTAAACATAACATTACAAAAGGCAACCCAGCAAATACAGAACGTTTCATAACGTTACCATAACGTTTTTTGGTTATATAAACGTTATTATAACGTTATAATAACTTTCTGTGTTTGCTGGGAAGTGGATTTGCCGTGTGCAATTTGTCACAGCAAATGATAAATGACCCAGACAGTTCATGGAGGATGAAACCTGAAAATAGCATGCAATAACCTTGAAGTGGAGACATCAGTTAGTATTCAGCGCCAGCAGCATCCAAAGAAAAATCAATAAAATGTCAATAACTCACCTGTTTGCGAAATCAAAATTTAGGCTCCTCTGCTTGTTTCAGAACTGCAAGTCCAATCCCATCAATGCGAAATCTGTAGGGTCGATTTATTCTGACACCTTCCGTGCGTAAATATTCCAAGACAGTCACGCTTCCAGCAATGAAGCTTAATCACAGGAGACTTGCCGTCAGCAGAAACATTTCATCATGGTCTGCTCGAAGATAAAGCGCTGTCACAGGGTCGTTAGCTAAAAGCTTCTGTTTCAAGAGAATTCGTCTCAAGCAGAAACGTAGATGCGTTAATGGCTCGAGCGTCAGCAGTGTTTCATTGAGAGTTGAAAACTGCGATTAAGACGTTATTCAAAACGTATCACTCTTATCTAACTAACCTAAGATCGACTTCCTTGATAATTCCTCAGCCGTCCGAAGCACTTCTCTGTCTTTCTTCTCGCTGTCAGAAGAACTGTAATTAGGATTTCTTCCTACAATGGATATTCTACCTTTGGATCGATACGTTATTTTCTTCTATAATAATGACGTTTCAATAAGAACTTCTGTTCATATGCCAATAAAAAGCCAGCCAAGTCATTTTTCTTCATAAGGTTACGATAAATGACATGAACACAATAATCAGACGAGTTTCTCTTGAAATCTATGTATTGACTGCACGAATGCAAAAAATCCATGTATAGCGTAGGCTGACAACGTTTTCCGGTATCCTGGGACTAAAATGCACCAACAAGACCCCTTCGCTGTCAAAATTCTTCTGGTTTCCAAAAGCCAAATTTTCCAAAAAAAAAAAAAAACAATCCTAATTTTTGCACACGTTTTGCTTTGAACCAACGTCTTTCTCATATACCACTGCCGTCCTCAATGCAATGCTCTTGGATTACAAGAACACTGTCAGTGTTGCCATTGGCGTACCTGCCGTATCCCCTGTATTTCCAATTCACAGATGCCCGGATATTAGCAGGATCATCTCCGGTTTCGCCCTTGGTATAACCTTGCCGTCAGTGTTTCACTGTAACGACAATGGAAAGCAATAAGTTATGAATAAAGATCTTATATTAGTTTCAGTCAGTCAATTTAGTTGAAGTAAGACTTAGAACCGGCGTATAATATATTGCCATAAAGCAGGTGCGCGCGAGCCGGTTACACAATTACAGACTTAAACACTCATACATGTACATGGGCACACTCACATATATATATATATATATATATATATATATATATATATATATATATATATATATATATATATATACATACTAACGAGTGCATACTGGTGCACACACACAGAAAGAGCGAGGGGGGGGGGGGCGCACGCAGACACTACCGAGAACCCTTGGTAATATCAGCGGTTAAAATGTCAACCAAATATTGGAGCTGATCATGATCAGAGATGAACTAATGAATCTACCAGCCACAAAAAAGCAATACGAGAGCGCAATCGTTCCATTACGTCGAGCACTGAGCCATGAAATAGGACCTTGATAACAAAATACCATTTATCATTCATTCATTCCTGAATTGTTCTTTAATAGTGTATGGCTGCAATTTAGCAATAACCCGTTGTCACGAATTATATCAATCTATAAAAGTATCTGTAATTCCGCTCAATTTCAAATGCACTCATCCCTTCTTCCATTTCCGATCCTCATTTCGATAGATCTCTTTAAATATCTCTTCTCCGCTGGGTAGTGCAAGGAAAACAAATGAAAGAGAGCAATACTTGGACATCGCGTGGCCTTGGTATGTGTGACCTTGACCTCCTATATGTGACCCCCTGAGCTTTAGAACAAAGGGTTTTGGGAGTCTAGGAAAACTACAAATGGCCTCTGTCTATCATATGTGAATCCTCGTTGACTGCATCGTCTGCAAAATCTGAAACCCACTGCTGCTAACCCAATTAGTGAAACAGATGCATTTACTGTATTGATTTATCATATTATGTGGCAAATCTCAATTATGAGAGAGAAAAATAACAATATTAACAATGATTTATATTTTCCGCTTAATTGAAATATAAATCATTGTTAATATTGTTAAGAATGATTTATATTTTCCGCTTAATTGAAATAGAAATGAAAGGAAGCAACACTTGGGATTGGGTGACATTTATATGACCTTGACCTTCTCAATGCGAATGCCTTGAGACTAAGAACTATTGGGTTTCGGGCAACCCACATGTAAAAGACGAAGGCTGGTTTGCAACAACTAGAGAAGAAAGTTGAGAAGAGGGTTGAAGGGAGGGGTCGCTTTGGTGGCCTATGCTCCTAGAGGGCAGCACCAACCACCACAAGATAGACAGGTACATGTGACCTTGACATTGAAACTGAACTGATCAATCATATCACAGGACATATCTTATTTACGAGAGGAAAATAACAAGATCAATCTACAGATCCAGAGATACATAACACATGGCCGTAGGAATCTATCTGAACTCGATAAAATGTCAATTAAGTTCTGTCTTTTAGCCTCACGTTGGTACTTCGTATCGCTTTAATCAAAAGGCTTGGAAAACCAAATTAATTCTTAATGGAATGTCTTGCAAATGTCGCGCATTTCGCAAATGTTAACGCGATCGTCAATTTCAATCACCTCTGAGCTGGCACACACAATTATGAATATCCGCCGAGGAAAGAAGGAAGAAAAGTGGGTGTTCTTTTCTACGACACTCTTAACACTTTGTAGGGAACAACCCTGCGCGGCGGGAATGGTAGTCCTATAAACGAAAAGTCCGCGGTCCCATACGATAATGACAGATGATACAGATGCAGGGGACCGTTTCACACGAGAAGTTTAGTCCAAAAATAGGTGTGAACTCTTTAAGACACAAATTTTAGCTTATCGGGTCACTGACACTTATTTCTTTCTGTGTTGACAATCGGTGGTACGATGGATCACAGCTTTATTTCTTCGTGAGTCCAGTATGAGAATTTTCTATTCAGTGAGTGTGGTTGAACATGCTAGCCCACGCTTCTCTGTCTATACTCAGCAAGAAATTGTCCAGATAAGGTCTAAATGAAAGCATGGCAATTTCCGTGACTTTTCCTGAATTAATTTCTGAGCCTGCAAAGTTCAGACTGTCTTGCGTGCACCAAGTCGCTACGAAACGAACCAAAGAACCTCAACACCCGTCACAAAGCTGAAATCGGAAAATCATTTCTAATGTCAGAATGTCTCTTAGGGACTCTAATTAAGCCTGCACTGGTACTGGAATAAAATTTGATCAAATGCCTCACCAAATATCAAAGTGCTCTGTATATAGGCTGCCTGGTGCATTAATGTAAAGATTTGTCATTGATTTGATATGTTTTGTATTTTAATACACCGATGAAACTCAAGTACTGCAGAGTGGGAAGGAAGTCAGACAAGAACCGGTATAACCTAAGTGATTGATCCTTCCCCAAAGTCAAGTGGCTGCCTCCTTGTAATATTCTACGGAGGCCTTTATCACATTGAGCAGTATGGTTAACGTTCACAGATTCGTTAACCACTCTTCAGGTTTCCAGAACTCCCTTTCACACGTTCTAAGTTCTTATTGAAATAAATTTGCTTTCTGCTGCAACGTTAATGATTCAACCTTGTTGAACATTATGGTTCCATTGCCATTAATCTCATACGTAACAGCAGTCGATTTTTGAACTTGGCGCCTACAATCTTCGGAATATCAGACCCTCGGAACAACAAACCCTCGGAATATAAGGCGTACCCCTAAAAGCCAAGGTGTTTTCTAAGTCGCCAATCTCTGAATTCGGACCAATCTCTGAATTCGGACCAATCACCAGCTAGGACAGCAGGGAAAAGGCTTCGGTCAGCGAGGTCACTTCACGGTCAACTCTCGTGTCTTTCAACACTGAAGTCCAGACAGCGAGGCCGACCGGTCTGGTCAAGGTACTAGGTACGGCCGCCAGTTGTTTTGTTTACACGCAATTCCAGACGATGACCTCTAACCGCTAGTAGATCTCGATACAAACAAGTCCTATCTGTGACCTGCGATCACCAATTTGTTTTCCATACACGCAGGTCCAGACAGTGGCAAACGACCGCCAGTTGGTCAAAGTGCAAATCTATCTAGGCAGATACGTAATGCATCACAGCGGCGGGTCAATGATTTCAGATACGTTCGATTCCAGACCTTTCACTATTTAAAGTAAAAAAAAAAAAAAAAAAAAAAAAACTGTGACAAACATCATACAGATGTTATAACAGCCTCATCCAGCCTGCTGACCAGACTTACCCCTGTTGTAACGAAAATTAAGTGAGGAATTAATAGTCATACGTTCGATTGTCTGTTCAGGTGGCACGGTCATACAAATTCGTTCATTTTGATCTGAAAAACTTCGCGTAAGATAAATAGTTACGCACAAAATATAAGCATAACTAGTATTTGTACATACTGGTACTCAATCTACCTAGTTCCTTATGTACTGTTAAATCAATTATTTTAACACACTTGACCAATTTTTAAACTGAAAAAAAATATATATGACTTACTTCAAACCTACAGAATGGTTTTAGCAGATCTTTGTTCACAGCAATAGGCGTACAGTACAGTTGATGGATTGGCCAACATACAAGTGAGTCATCCAGATCAACCTGTGTCCATCTATCATATAAAGGCCAAAGGAGTGTAGACAGAGGTCAAGGTCATAATTTACACTGAGTACACACGAGTCTAGACAGAGGCAGGTCATACAGCTACCCAGGCGCGACGAAGACGTTCGTTCAATTTACGCTAACCTTATCTAGGGTCAGTATAGAATCTCAGTAATAGTAAAACTGGCTGGTACACGTTTCGGCTAAGCTTCCGGATTAGGGGTCGCTTGGACATTCGGTTAGGTTATAACCACTTCCAAATCTTGCCATGTGGTCTATCAGCTTAAACCGGACACTAGGTTTTACGTGGATAGTTGACTAGCAGATAGTTGACTAGCAGATCAAAGGTATCCCATACCCAGTAGATAAAGTCGTCATTGTAAATAAGCCGTGTACAGGCGAGTCCAGACGGTTATGTAACATGTTACACAACAAAAGGGGCTGTTGTGGAGGTCAATTTGTACTCTCTTGAACGGCGGTAATATATCAGTGTTGCGGAGTTCTCTTAACATAAATAAGGGGTCCATATCCTCCTTATCAAACTTGCTCTCTCTCTCACTCCCGCAATTTCTCTCTCTCTCTGTCTCACACACACACGCGCACACACTGCCTCACACATAGTTTTTATTTTTCAAGCTCTCTCTTGGAATTACATGCACACAATACACAGAAAAATGCACCCTGTGTCCAATACTTTCTCCGTTTTCGACCTGATGCCTAAGATGTGTCTTCTAAACACAGCGTTAATGTTCCTACTCACTACTCTTCCCGTATCATGTACCGTGGCCACTCACTGCCTGCACACTTAAAAGCAGCGAGAAAATTTGATTAAAATGTCGTCTACATAGTAAATCCTAATAACGGTTCCGACTGTAACAAAGCAATAAATTAGACAGTCGTTCTTGCTCGGGATATTAACTTACTTATCTTTTTTCCCCTTAAAATCTATTCAGAAATAGACTGATCACTTTACACCGAGCATCCTCCCAGACTGCATACGGACGGTAATGTAGTTTTCCTTGAAACAATCAACTATTAGTTCAAAGGCTCACAGCGGTCAAGCAAGAAATGTATGAGCAGACGACATTGCCTTTTCCGGCGACAGGAACCCTGGGTAATCTGCTTTATTCACAAACACACCAACACAGTGAACCCTATCCAATGACCGGATGTCACACGAGAGAAGGTGCTCCGTCTGGCTGCACAACCAGATTTAGCATCACATTAACATTCACTGATGGATTCACAGGTCAACAATAATAATCTATTAAGATAAGGAGGATTAAAGTCTATGGGATCGTTCAGAATGAGTTATGTCGACCTAGCTAATGCCAGGCCTACCCAACTACCAGACTCGGCACCTACGGATCCAGAATAAACCGGTATATCAGACCACACTACCCGTTTTCAAGG